GTGCCGAGGGCGACCAGCCGAGCGAGTCCAGCAACAGTGCCATGGTCGAGTTCATGTGGAAGCAGTACCTCCAGGCCCAAGCTGATAGCGAGCAGGCCAATCTGGACGAGATTGCAGTGGCGTGCCCAGAGGCAGTACCCGCAGCTCCTGCAGTACCCACAGTACCGTCCACAGGACACCTACTCAAGCAGGCAGTCGCTCATCTCAACCGTGTGCAGAAGTACCAGGCCAAGCTCGCCAAGCAACTGCAGAGCGAACCACCGAGTACAAAGACGACGTGCTCAGGAAGCGTGGCGAGAACATAGTGGAGCTAGCAGATGCCAAGAAGTCCTTCGCGGAGGCGCAGGCGGCAGTGGGCGACAACAGCGATGAGCGGAGCAAGACTGTCGAGAAACCAGGCGAGGACGAGGAGTTCCCCACGCTATCGCAAGACGAGATCGCCCTGCTGGACGCCAACCAGAAGAACGAGTACGAAACCATCCAGGGCGAACTCCAGAAGGCGCGAGAGTACACCCAGCAGAATAAGCATGCCGTCAGCAATGCCAAGAAGTCCCTGGAGAGGGCCACCAAACTGCGCAACACGGCGCAGTCAGCTAAGAAAAGGAAGGCCGCGGCAGGAACACAACCTGCAGAGGTACCAGGAGGAGAAGCAGATAAAGCTCAACAAGACGAAGTACGACCTGAATTACCTCGATCAGCAGAACCTGAAGTGTCCTTGGCGTCTCAGTATGACCTCGCCGACTCCGACCAAATCGAGCAGTACCTGGCACAGCTGGCGAAGGTCAAAGCGAGGGCGCGGCAGCACCAGCGGCGCGCCAATCAGGAGCCGCAACGGCAGCGTCAGCACCATCGACAGCGTCAAAGCCAGCGCAGCCCAAACCAGAAGCAGCTGAATATCAAGAGCGAGGGTAACGGTAGCCAGACCATGAACGGAGCACCTCCACAATATCTTAGGGCTGGCTCAGAGCGGGGATGAGCCTACTCCTGTCCAGGGTACAGGCTCAACCCTACTCTCTGCTGCCCTGCGTCAGGATCCCAGAGGTTGCGGCAGGTCTGTTTGGTTCGACGACGAGGTGGACAGCATCGAGTTGAGTGCTTTTACTCTTGCAGATGATGAGGGGAAGGCCGCGCAGCGTCGAGATCGAGTACTGCTCGAGGGAGAGGACGACGCGGGCCCAGCACTTAGTAGCGGCAATCTTGCCGCCACGGACTCCAAGAGCATGCAGAATTCCAAGGGCAGCAAGCAGACTGTCACCCTTTTCGTGGCCAACTGCACCCGTTGCAATGAACAACGCAAATCATAGAGGATCACAAGAACTACGACATGACCGCCTTGTGCGAACATCACCTACGTGAACCTGCCGCTGAGGTCGTGGCGACCAGGCTGATGCGCCAAGGATGGCGTTCCCACGGCGCATGGGCACCAGCGAGACAGTCACCGCGATCCCGCAAAGGAACTTTGAGAGGCACGTGCATATTGCGCCGACGACATCATGATACGCGAGCCCGTATGCCAGACGCCACAGGACACATCATCTTTGCCTAGGAGATCCGCGACATCTCGATCGTCATGTGGAGGCTCAAGGGCCAGGACGTGGCGATCATCGCAGTGCACCTCGCCGTGTCCATCGGCTTCTCACGTGAGAACATCCAGAAGATGCGGCACCTCCTGCAGATCGTCAGGCGTCTCGGGAATATGCCGTGGTTGGTGCGCGGGGACTTCAACAGCGCGCCGCAGGGGCTGGCGGACACACCATGGTTGAAATTGCTGGGAGGCGCAGTCGTCGTGCCCCAGAGCGTCTCACATACCTGCAGCGGCGGATCGGGACGGTTGATTGATTGCGCCACTGTGCTTCGCGCCTCCACACTTTCGGCCCCTACCACGAGCAGTGCGCGCTGAGCATGCGGTGCCGCGGTCTCCTTGCATCGGCATCGCGGTTGAGCGTTTGGGCCAGGCCGGCGCTAACTACCATTCGCAAGCCCATGCTGCTTGCCGAGAGGCCGATCCCAACAATAGAATTCCGACGCGAGAAAGGACTCAAACGTCACTTGCGACATCGGCAACAGCATCAACAACTCCAAGCACGCGGAGACAAAGTCGACACCATGGATGACGGCCTGCTCGACAGGCACTTCAAGACTACAGTGCCTATGCAATGCGACGGCAGCCTATGGGGCGACATGCGCAACAGCGAGCACGACGTCAAAATCAAGAAGGCTCCGCAGTAGATTCAGGACTCCATAGCTTACCAGCAGGACCCGAACATGAGCGAAGGGCTGGGCCAGCTCTACGGCAGGTGGGCGAACGCGGCCGAAAGAATGCCAGCTACCATCATAAAATCTCCGATGCGGTCACGAGCGCGGCGAGGGCAGCCCGCGCAGCACGTTGAGGCACTGTGCACGCACCGCGTCAAAGGCATAGAGGATGGCGGCACCAAAGCATATCAACGGTGGCGTCGTAGCATGAACGGGGATACGCGATGTCAGAGGTGCCGCGATGGCGAGCGTCTACTACGCAGGCATCCTAAAGATAGTGAATAGCATCTCGGAGCGATATGCAGCATCATTGAGGCAGTGGTCGACCATACTCAGCAGAGCGAGCAGACGAACGCAACGGAGATGGACTACCTTGACCAGCAGGCCTACCAACTTGCACTACGAGTCAAAAGGTTACGACATGATGAAGACCCAGACGTCACACTGGAAGCCGTGGGTGAATTGGCAGCTGCAACGGAGGCTGCACGAATCCGAGCTGACTGGCATGGGCGGCAAGCTTGGAAAGGCATCCGTGAACAAGTATCACAGCGGGCGCTCTCTGCACTCTCGAACAGCATGAAGGACGCACACAGATATTTGAGCAAACATGAGCGACGAGAACTACCAGACACGGCAGCTGGTCCCATCGCCCAGCAGGACACCGAGCGTTGCGAGAAGCTACTGATTGCCGGGCTGGTATATGGCAAACGCGATGGCATAGACATCACCAACAAAGCGGAATACACCAAGGCATGCAATAACCCCGCAGAGCAGTTCAAGAAGAACTGCCGCAGGGAAGGAAGTACAACCTCGAGGACCAGGAGGCAGCAATACCCAAGTTCAGTCCGACGGCAAGAGGAGCTGACCAATGGCAACCACCCGAACTACGAGCCCTTCCTGCAGAAGCCAAGCAGAGCCTCGTGAATACAAACAACTTGTGCGAGGAGAAGCTCAGCTGGCCGTGCCAGTTTTACCACGTCTGGTACCACCTACTAGTCAAGGCAGGATCGAACACGGCAGGAGAAGCACGACCGATTGGCTCATTACCTTTCCCAGTGCGGTTATGGGGTAAGATGGGAAACGCAGGAATGCAAGATTGGTGCGCTGAAAAGGCGGCCTATTGGGACGCGGCCGTCCAAGGCCCATCGGCTTTCAGAGCAGCGCTCCCCCCATGGCACTGGGCGAGGCCAGCGCGAAGCTCAAGTGACCTCCCACGGCACTTTCTACCTGGACTTGGAGAAGTTCTACGACTGTGTGGACCTCAGCATACTCATCAGACGGGCTATGCAATTGGACTACCCGGGGGTCAACCTGTACACGAGCATGCTGATGTACTTGTCCCTGAGAGTGGTCAGGCATGCCAAGATCACGCAGCGCCGATAAGTTCATGGAGCGGCATCGTGGCAGGATGCCCTGCGGCCAACCACGCTGCCCGAGCCATGATCCACACCATACTGGACATCACCCGCAGACCAGCACCGCTGGCAATCACACGGGAGTTCGTGGACGACCTACATACGTGAGCCGAAGGAGCCGAAGCCGATTTCAAGGAGCAGTTCCCCAAGGCCATTGACACGCTGGTACAGGCATGCTTGGATTCTAAGCTGGTGGTCTCAAGCAAGTCAGCGGTCCTCGCGAACTGTAGAGCGACCAAGAAGCACATCATAAAGAACATGCATCGCAAAACCATTGGAATCCCGACGCCAAGTTTTGCCAAGGACCTGGGCATCGATGCTGCGGTCGGACGTAGAAGGACAACCTCGACCCGACGAGAGCGAACCAAGCAAGCACGTGCCCGAGTTTTAAGGGCAAGGATTTTCACGAGGAACAAAGGACGATGGAGAAAGACAACGGCCATGTTGCACACCGCCAACCTGCGCGCCAAACAGAACTACGATTGGCCAGTAACAGGACTCAGCCCGCACGGAGTT